CGTAAGAGGCGACGAAGGGAACTTAATGATCGAGCGATAGTCAGCTGCATCCCTCTTGAAACATCATCAAAGTCTAACTGCGGTTGCCAAACCGCCTGCCAAGCGTCGCAAATACTGGCAAAACCCCCCCTAAAAGGAGGCCTATGTTCAGCAGTGGACAGTTAACGGCTGATGTGATGATGATGATGATTCGTATCCCATCAGAGATGATTTTTTTCTGCATAACTGGTTCCAATTATATTGTGTCATCCATTTCATTTCAAGCGTTGTTACTTCCTACTATTTAAAGCGTTTATAGTTACGAGTATTAATCCTTACTTACAAATACCTTTTCCTTAATTCACAACCATCATTCAAATTGTAAATATAAAATAAGTTTTTATTTTTGACATGACGCCTTAATATCGCAATCAGTCGTCGTGTCATTTAGAAAGTTTCACATATATAATATTAGTAGTATTTAATAATACTATTTATGGCTGTTTTATGTCAAAGTTTAACATAAATTTAATTGCACGTCCGTATCTGAACGATACATGACAAGCGTGTGTAATAACTGCGAACCGTGAAGAGATTGCGTTGTTATCGGAATTCCTTATTATATCGATATCAACAAACAAACATACTTTAATATCTATATATGAAATTTCGCAATATAGGTATCTAGGTATACTGTTATTCTGGAATCTTATCTAAGTGTCATACCACTATAAAAATTTGGGTGTTAAAAAATGTTTGTAAAAAGGTGAATATAAAAACGATGTTTGATGATACTCGTAGTAAATACTTAATATAAAAAAATCTATTTTGATTAATAAGCAGAATATCTTAATTTAATAAATGTTATTCTAATTCATGTGTACGACATATGACGGTTAGTAACTTTATACTATCACGTGGATAATTTGATTTTTTACCATTTCTTTCTGATACTTATTAATACTCTTAAGTGTTTAATCCAGAAACAAAATAAATATGTATCTGTGATCTAGATTTACAAGACTACATGGATAGTTTAATTTTAGGCAAGCACTAAAAATATGCATGTTTATACAAATACTTCCATTAAACTCTAATAATGTAAATAATATATGTATTATCTGTGCTCTACTTTATCTGAAAGATGTAAATAGTCTTCTTCGTGCCTTATTTGTATTGTAGTAATCTATTGCTATTGTTTATTTATTTAAATAACTTTATCGACCGAAAAGAAATATGGTACAAAATGCGGAGTTAATGCTAGTAGCATTCTTTACCAGTTATATATTTATTATTTATTTATTTTGTTTTTTTTTTTTCTGTATACTCAATCAAAAGGAAGAGGTTCTCAATTTAAGTATATTTTTGTGTGTTGTAATAATTTTTAATTAATTTGTTTTTTATCTAAACAATTTAGTTTCTTATTAGGTTTTTATTTTAAGAAATTATATTCAAGTGATGAAAGCTATATAAATGAATGTTTATGTGAATGTCTGTAAATTGGTATAAATTGTTAGGCATCCGCTTAGCGGAAGTCTGTCTGCGATCTGGATTGTTTTGCATCAATCTGACATTGTATTTATCGTTAGCTCTAAAAATACTCAATGTTTGCTAATATATATATAACACATTCAGCAAGTATTGCCGAATTTCCGGAATACATTTGAACGGAATGTTTTATAAAACATTGTTAAATAAATAAATAAAAAGCAAGTAGTGTGTTGACGTAACCTACTTTTCCAAGTATAAAATCTCTTTTCAACAGACTTTAAAAAGAAGTTGGTTCTTAATTCTATTATATTTTTTATTTTAATGTTTGTTACCTTATAGTTCTATCAGTTTGAAAATTAATATAATAAATAAATAAATTAAGATAACCAGGAGCCTATCAAGCGCCGTAAATATTCATCCCTTGGTAATGGATATATATTTGCGGCGTTTGGAGTTGAAACTCTGGGTCCGTGGGGCCCCGAGGCCATGAATCTTTTCAAAGAGATCTCACGCCGGCTGGTGGAAACCTCTGGTGATCAGAAGGCTGGCCTATACTTTGGTCAACGCATTTCCATTGCTATTCAGCGTGGAAATGCAGCAAGTATCCTAGGCACCCTACCAGCTGGCAGTGATCTCAAAGAAATTTTTTATCTTTAATTATATATATTTTTAATTTTTTTAATGTTATATTGGATTAAGTAATATTCTGTTATTATTTCTTCTTGTAAATAAAGTACTAAAAACTAATATATTATAAAGTAAGAATTTATATTTTTTTAATATTTTAATTAAGATAATAAATAAATACATTCTTTATTAAAGGTAACTAGGACGTACACAATTTTCACACAATGTTAAATTGTACTAAATCCAAACCATTAAAATAAAAATTGGTTTACTTTAAAACTAAATTAGTTTTTAAATATTTTTTTCCTGAATTAATATCGGTTTCTTTTTTGTGAAACAATCTTAATTATCAACTATAAATAATTATTAATCTAGTAACGAAATCAATTAAAAAAAATTTAACACGTAAATATTTTTTAAACATATTAGTAATATTTTATTATGAATAATAAATAGGTTTAAAATTATATAACTGTGTTAACTCAATATAATAAACAGTAATGGGACACGACGTAAAATATGGTATTTCTTTATTACTATAGTGGTGTCTTGATGTCTTGAAGCTAGGTTACTTGTAAAGTATATATTATATTAATATCATATAAACGCCATTCTGAACAATTATTTATATTGGTCATTATTTATATTTTTTATTTTTTAAAGTACCCGTAACCGGCGAGCGTGTATGAAAAGATTGATTAATGTGGAAGAAACGAAAGAGGTTTCTTTGAATCGAAGCATTTGGCGATCCATTGTTTCTGCATACCCTAATGGGAGACAGGCGTGACAGATATGTATGTATGTATGTATGTTTATATTTTTGGAATTGCTGAAATACTTTCACAGTCGATGAGAAGTGTGCTTTTACAGTTATAATATCTAGTCCCCAATTCCGAAGATGAATACATAAGTACAGCCAATGTAATGTAATTGTAAATATATTAAAATAATATTATAATTTTTTTTATTAATTTAACCTTATGTTAAATGTGAAGGTAACCATCTCGTTAACAAATGGCTATGTCTTCTGCTGCTGATGAGTGGAGAGAAAGGTTGTTTCAATATACTCGTATACCTATTTCAAGTGCATTACACAATTTTAGAAAATTTAGATTGCAATTTTAGATTGCAGCACATATGCACTAGTGAAGACATATATTTATTGTCATTCAACCAATTAATCTATATAATGCAGCTATATGTATATGCATAAAAACATATAATCACTTCAACATTCTTGACGTGCTCGCAGAAATTCACCGAAAACTGGAAGTGAAAGATTCACGTCTAATTTTCAGCGTAAACTATTCTATTTCCATTTAAAATAATAAAGTATATTATTTGTTCACGTATTTTTATATGTGATACATTCGGCAATAAAATTACAAATTTCCTAATGTAAAAATTTAATTTTCACGGTGGTACATGTGCCAATTTTTTTAAATGTAGAGATAACATTTTTGCGTCCATGCACATCGTCATTTTTTTTATAGAAGTATATACATCAATCTGTCATAGAGGTTTGGACCGATTCGCATTATTCACTTTGTAACTAAGAAGTTACAAAGTTTCACTATGAAAATGAGCTCATGCTAATTTTGTAAGATTTCAGTTTATTTTGTGAAAAAAACATACTTATGTCTAGAATGGTCGAACTAAACATAGTGAGAAAAAAATCATGGACAACCTTAATAATTACCAAAAAGTATATAAAAAAAGTAAATAGCACTAAATGTATAAGTTTATAATTAGAATATTACACTTCATACATACAGAGTAAATACCACTCATATACGAGTATAGCATAATTAGCTATACAGATTCATTTATACATAATCCAAAAGCCGAACTCGGATAAATTGAGATGTTTAATAGGTTATCGAACAATTTGATATCAATGTTACATTTATCTGGCTGCCAAGTTACATTTATGTTGAAAGCTGTCGATTTGTGTGCCGTGTACGGTTCAGCCTTGCGCATGCGCGTACCGGTTTGTTTTGATAATTCTAACGACATCACCTTGGCACCGATGCACGTTGGCAGTTTTCACTTTTTTTTTTTGTCATTAATATTACTATAAAAGGTGATACGTTCTCACGAGTAATTTGTTAATTTAAATGGACGTAAATTAGTTTATTTTATTTAATACTTTTATTATGATCTTATTTATGTGAATAATGTTTATTAATTATAATTTTACACTTTTTTATTGATATTAATAATAATAATTAAATAAATTCATTCTGGTAACTAATTTATTACATTTAATTGTACTTAAATTATGTTATTTAGTATTTTTATCGTTTTCGTATTTTAAGCGATAATATTTGTTAATATTATTTTTAACAATCATTTTAATAAATAAAAAATTAATATGCATAGTGACGCTTTCTGATTACCAATTTATTTCCCTGTAATAACCACTTTTATAATGATGTACATAAATACAACATATAAGATATATTTATTGATATCATATTTAGTTACTTTTTTTTATCAATTTCAAAGAAATGTAAATAATATTTCAATATGCATGACGTCACTATAAACTAGTTGATCGTCATATATTTATATCACATAGTTAAGCACTAAGGAATGTTCAGTAATGCGAGCCAAATTCACGCTGGGTTCCGTAGGTATCAAACTTTTAAATTGACTATCATATAAATTCATAGCTTTCGTTCCACGATTAAATATTAATTAAATTAACGCAGATGAGATAAATCTTGAGCTCTTATTATTGTTTTTTTAATTAAGTGTCTGTATGTGACATTAATCACAGAATCACTTCATTAAACATTCTTAATTGAACACAATTTTGCCAAATTACCATTTTATTGACACATTTATAGTACATTTATTTCGACAGAAAAATTTTAATGAATCTATTTCTTTGTTCTCAGGCCTCTTCAAAGGCTCGACCACAACGCTCGACGGGATCGGTCTGCGACCGATGCCAGCCGAACGGCCGAAGACGTTGAGGAAACTAAAATCGGTGTACGACGCATCGCCGACAGAGCCACCAGCCGTCAATAGCGGTAACTTGAGCAGCAATGGACAGACCGATAGGAATTTTAACGGTGTCGAAGAAGAGGTTAGGAGGCGCAGCAACACGACTAGTTCAAATCAGAGCGCGGACAAATCGCTGTCGATCCTCAGTCCATTCGATGAGCAGGTAAATTTAATGTATATTTTTTATAATATTTTTAGAAATAGAAAATCATTCATACGGAATTTTACATATGAATACGAAATAGCAAATAACATTTATTAACCATTTCACATTTACGTACTTTAGTGAATACCAAATAGGACTTCCACTTAGCATATGCTGTAATATTCAACAATACAATCATCATCATCATCATTTCAGCTATTATCCATCCACTGCTGGACATAGGCTTCCCCATAAGGCCATAAGGAATGGTCCTGAGCCATCTGAATCCACTGACTCCCAGCAATATAATACACAACACAATTTTAAGTTTAGTTTTAACAGCAAATTTCTTTTATGTGACTGGGATTGACTAAGACGGAGAAATAAGTATCCTTCTTCATTGCAAATAGCATATGTATTATATATCAAATTTAAAAACGATTAGTTGAGCCATTAAAGTGCCAAGATGTAAAAAAGAAATAAACTCATCTTTAGAATTATAATAAAATTAGGAAATAAGGATATTTATTGTGTATACTGAGTATTTGAGATGGATGTACAACAGGGAAGTGAAATGATGCAGGAGTACCTGCATCATTTGCCAGGAGGCAGAGACCTAGATTGATTTACCACGATTAGGTACACCATGTGCTGTCTGAGGCAGAATCTAAGAATTTCTAGATGAGTTTTGAATAAAGAGTTAATGGTTTAGGTTTTTAGGTTTAGGTTTACTTAATCTGTAAAAGACCAGATATCTGATATATCCATCCGACACTAATAGAGGATATATTAGATACTTCATTAATGCTGTTCACAGTAATATTCATAATAAAATATCGTCAGAATTCTTACCTAATACCAAAACTTTGTGTCACTATTGTATTCTCATTAAATTTACGTTGATGATAAATACTTCTGACAAAGCTAACAATTTAAAAAGAACGGCGACGTATTTTCCTTTATTATTTATTGACATGTCTATTATTGTATGTTATGTGATAAAAACTAACCTAAACATTAAGGCCAGTCCAGTTCTAAGGCAGTCTAGGAATTTTATAAAAGTTTTAATGATATAATACGTAATTATTTAATTATCATATATATTGCTGGAATTTTTGGTATATTTATAAAACGGTATAATAAAAGTGATTATTATTTTTATTAAAACATTAACAAAAATCCAGTCCTACTCGGTTGACATTGCTTTTTGGAAGTATTATAATAACGTTTCAAAACTTACTTGTCAAATCTAAAAAATACTTTGTAAATAATTCACGAAGAATAAATTTGTAAAAAAACTTTTTTAAATACCGTAAAATATACAATTTTAAAAATTCTAAATAAAAAAGCACACAAGCTCCCAAACTAAAACTGTAGGCGGTAATTTGAATGATGGCATATGGTATTATTTTGTGTGCAAAACATCAATTACGCAATGACTAACGGCTAGCCAACAAAGGCAGGAAGTAATGAAAATTAACGGTCCCCATTCTACCCTGTGACCACTTGTGGCTTATTAAGTCGATTGCACATTAGGAGTGACATAATTTCACGTTATTTTCCACATAAATATAGCCACATAAAAAAGCCATAAAATTAACACAGTGCATAATCACAATTATATTTTAGAAAGAGCAAAAACTTAAATCATGACAAAATGAATATTGGAATGATCCAATATTTATTTTGTATTAAACTCTATCAATATTACAATATTTGATAATCAGTTCAGATTTTTGAAGATATAATATAACATATAGTTTAAGATTTTGTTTCACAAAAAGTATCGACTTTAATCATGAAAAAAAAAACTAGTTATTTTAATTTATAAAGTAAACTACTAAACCGATTTTGATAAAATTTCTATAGCATTAATCTAAAAATATATTCCTTCAGATTGGAAAAAGTTTTTTCCAAATCGGTTTATAAATGACGGAGTTATAAGGTACAAAAAATACTACCGAATTGAGAACATTCTTTTTGTTTAAGTCGGTAAAAAATATAGGGGAATTGAGAACCGGCTGCTTTTTAAACTGGCCTAAAAACCCATTATTATACAAATTAACGTAAGAAAGTTAAAAAAACCCGGTTGTTGTTAGTTTTTGATAATTATAGGTATAGGTTAATCGTACTTTTATTAGCAAGACAAATCTGACGACACATGACATAATAACATATAAAAATACGACTAATCTAAAGCATTCTCCTTTTTTGAAATCGGTTAAAACTTTAAATAAATACCGCACTGTCGGTTTAGTTTTGGTATAATTTGAATATGAACAAATGTTGATTTTTATGAGGTATATCTATGTATCTAGGGTAGTCAGTAGTTCACGACACATTAATAGGACACCATGACACACAAAAGACTGGTAGTTACGTGACAATAACGTTACGTGTTGCTTTATTGTTACCTTCACAGATAACATAATACGATAGCTACTAGTACCTGCTACGCCATAGAAAAAAAAAACTATTCTTGTTTTATCTATGCCTTCAATTAATATTATCATGCATTAATCGCAAATTTTTCCTAATAAATAAAATAAAATTCCTTAATAAACTTAGGAGTGCATTTGATGTCAAAGTTAATTCCGATACTTTCAGTGACCCCTGAGCACAGAAAATAATATGTAATAGTGGTTTAAGAGTGGTTTAAATTACAAAAAAACATAATAACTTTATTTTTTTGTAATCTAAACCACTCTTAATTATTAATTTGATTTTGTCAATACTGGCAATTAATATGAGAATAATATGGCAATAAACTACTCCTTACAAAAATAATTATTAATTATAAAATCGCATTAGAATTGTCGAACATATTACATAATATATAAACATAAAAAAACTTAAATAAAAAATTAAAGCCTATTCCGTTTTTAACCTTTTTTTTTAAATATATACATAGTATTAATGATATAATAATTAGTATACTATAACAACTATATATAACAACAATGTTATTATATTTGCTATACGGAACCCTAAAAATGAGTCACATGCGGGCGTTATGCCCTCATATGGCGACAAGCTGTTAGCTGTCTCTTCGATAAGATAAAACCTCGAGATGGGAGCAGGTGGAGCAAGTTATGAAACATATGCTCTATTGTTGGACACCTTGTGTTCAGATGCAATGCATAAAGTCGTTACTTGCGGTTTTATTTCCAGGACATTTATATGTTAATTATAATTAATTATACATATGTCTGCTAAATATATAACGTAATGTTTTGAGTAATAAAGTATTTTATTTGCATAAAAATTCTTGAGTGGTGACCCCGTATGGGCAAAAATAGTGTAGAGCGAACCTCCATTAGGTGACAACCTCAAATGCATTGCAGGGAGTTAATGGATGCAGGTGGTTCAGGACCGTTCCTTTATGGCAGTTTATAGGAGGGATATGTAGGCAGCATGATCCGAACTATTATAGAAATAGCGGCTTTATGTATTTGATAATTGTTGGCAAACTTGAATAAATAAAATATTTTTTTCCATGATGTAACTGAGAGAAGTTCTAATCCTATTAGATCAAATCCCCAAAAATAATAAAAAAAAATTCTTTGTTAACAGGAGGAGTGGGCGAAAATCTCTGAGATAATGGCCTCTTTCGGCACGAAACTCGTACGAGAGTCGGTGTTCGTTAGCGAACTCGAGCAAGAGTTCACGTCGAGACTCGGCCTTAGCTGTTCTGAGTCAAGCTTGAGTCCATCTGTGGCTTCCAATCTCGGCCTTTGGCTCTCTGGCCTCGGATTGCATGACTACGAACCTTTATTTTTGGAGAGTGGATATGACGACATTGATTTTATTGTAAGTCCTTTACATTCATCTTGCTTTTATAAACAATTATAATTTCTCAATTTGATGCACAGAATACTTCACAAAACAATAGACGAGTCTTTTAAGATAAATTCTCTAAATGACTAATTCTGTAAACAGTTAATTTCTGAAATAGTTAATACCTAATTCTATTAATATCTTTTTTTTTATGCTATTGGGAATGACAAACAAGTTGACGTCCTATCTAGTAGAAAGTAGTAACCATCGTTTATGGATATGTATAAGAGTCAAAGTGCTAAAGTCTCCAAAAGGCATCCTTACTTACTTATGCGTCTCTTCATTTCTAATGCGAACTGCTAAAGAATGGAATTCTGTGTTTCTGGAGAAATACAATCTGAGACTTTTCAATTCGATGATGTATAACTATCTCTTGGGTAAGCGCGCTCCATCTTTGATCTTATCATCTATTACCACCAAGTCAGGTAAGATCAAGTGCAAATTCATCTTGTAATGAAAAAGGCCAACTTAACTTTTAAAAAAGGGCATAATACGAATTTACGTTTCACTTAGACACTTGTTCAAACATACTAACGCTATTGTACCAACAACTGAATAAATTTTAATCTAATTATTTTTATATGAAAGTATTCAAGTGTAAAGTGACAAAAAAAATATACGTGGTACTTAACTTTTATTTTTATTTCAGAATGGAATCTTAGACGAGAATGATCTACGCGAAATGGGAATTGAGGAGAATGATAGACAAAAAATAATAGAATCATCAAAACAGTTACCTCTTAAAATAGCTGAAATAAGCAATAATCACAATAATAATAATATTAGTAAAAACCAAAATGAATCTGTAGAGGAATGGTTAAGGAATATTAATTTAGAACAATATAGTGATACGTTTAGGAAACATTTGTATGTTGATATGGATAGAGTGAAAAGGATTTGGGAGGTGGAATTGACTGCTGTATTGGAAATACAGAAGGTGGGGCATAGAAAGAGGATTTTGGCGTCTGTGTCCGGGGAACAGAATGGTCCTGCTAGTAATATGGAAGATATTAATGCTGATCTCAATACTTTGGTGAGTTTATGATTTTTTTTTTATTTCCTCTCACTGGCAACTTGGTTTATCGGCCTATATATTTGACGACCTTCGCAGCGCAATGCCGAAGGTGTCGTTTTGCGTTAATGACGTTCCATGAAGGATTTTTGGTCGAGCCAATTTAGAAAATTTTTTTTGTAAATTTCTTCAGGTCTGGGTGTAGTGGGTTGTACTCTCAGCTATTCATTATTAGGTTTCTCATAAGACAGGGTATTTTAGCTTGAGGATTAGGCCAATATTGTTGTTGTGTGGCATTTTATTAAAATTGTTTTGATAAAATTAAATTGATATATGTTTTTTGACACTTCTTTTTACCAGTTTTTAAATTTCCTTTAGAAATGCAACTGTGAAAATCATATCCAATTTAATGCAGTAGTTTTTGCGTGATGCCATCAATTTTTTTTTAAATATCTCCCATGTACAGACATCGTCTATTTACAAATTTATTATATTAGTAATTATTAGTATAATGCCTATTAACATTCGAGGATTACTAAGTCATCACTCTCAATGAAAAACTATATAATTACCATTCATAATGTATGTAGCATTGACACTTGTGGCGGTGCATATTAATAATTTTGCATAGTTATTATGCATTGCATTGATTGATAGTTTATTTTTAAATTCATTAATACGTAAATCATATGCGTTTAACCTTTTCTCAAGTAGATGATATTAGTTAGTAAATGTTATATAAATATAGATTTATTTTCATTACAACACACATAAATTGAACAGGTTGTAGCAATATTTAAAAAAATCCACTGAACTGCTCTACAGTTTTTCTCGCCAAGAAGGCATAAAATAAGCCACTCCTTCCTTTCTCGTGGGTGTCGTAAGGAGAGACTAAGGGAACTTATCTTGTAGGGATGGGCAGCAAAGTTCCTTTACAATCATCGCCAAAAGCTAAACTGTAGTTGCCAACCCGACTGCCAATCGTGGCAACTACTGTCAGAACCTCCTTATCAGGGAGACTATGTTCAGCAGTAGGTAGTTAACATAGATATACACAGCTGATATAACAACACATAGTATTTCTGTTTTAATATTTATGCTATGTATACTAGAATTTAAACGTAACCTTCAGAACTACAACCCTGAAATCTGTATTCAATTTAGTCAAATAGTTTTTGCGTAATGTTGAAATAAACATATATGTTTATACAAACATAGACAAAAGTACTAAAAATTATTGTTTTCGCTTCTATTGCTATTTTATTTATATTGTTTATTAAAACCCTTCATATCAATTTCTCTTTAATATCTTCATTGTCTAGTTAAAATTTTATTATATTACTAGCTTTTACCTGCGACTTCGTCCGCGTGACCGGGATATGTCCATTAACGAGATAAAAAGTAACGTTAGTTGTACCTTCTCAATACCAAATAGTACGTGCATACCTAAGGGCTTAAGCAATCTTTTACAGTGATTGCTTAAGCTATTGTGGCGCTATAAGGTAACAAACAAACAAACAAACTTACTTTTACATTTATAATATTAGTAAGGATTAAGATAAACTAACTAAAAAATATTCTCTCTGATATAATTAGTATGTAATCGTATTAGAGATATTTTATACTTTAAAAGACGCCTAAAACCTACCTCAAATTCTTGATGGTATTAAAATGGCTAATCCCTGTTAAATTGCTCATCTTGTAGTTAATTATCTTCACGCACGTGTAGACGGGGTGTAGCCAGGCAACACCCTCGCAGGTGATGTCGGGGGGCTGATAAAAGAGTAAATAATATTAAGGAGATGAGCATCGTATGCTACGTCAAGTCACTAAAATTCAGTATGATGAAGTGCTTTAGACGAATGCACGAGATGTTTAATTACTCTCACACTTATGGTTGAAGTAGGACAAAATCAATTTTTTGGCCTGTTTCAGAAAATCTAATTTAAATTTATTAATCATTGTTTTTGATAAAAACAAAACCATATTAATTTTAAACAAATTCGACGTATTTTATTTTAGTCTAAAAAACACGTAATCTGGTTATTCTTACATTAAAATGTAATTCGACGTTTGTCCTTTTTCTGTTATAAGATCCCGAAATGTTAAACTCACAGATTCAAACGTCAGGAAGATAATGAGCAAGTAGCTGTCAAGTACAACACATGTGACAATAACAAGTCCATAGACGGTACCACGTTAAAAACAGTAAACATGTACTTACGGAAATCGGTAGGATCAAAATTTTATGTCAGTGATTTCGACTCGACCCATTTAACTTGTCAAAAATATTTTTTTTTATACAACTTAGAATGGCTAACAAGCTGACGGCCCACCTGATGGAAACTGGTAACAGTCGCCTATAGACATGAGCAGTACCATGGACATAACAAAGTATACTGTTTCGCCCATGGTACCCCCCATGCGTTACTATTCCTGAGGACTCAGATGTTATTCCTCTGTACCCTGTAAATTCACGCCATATCCCACCCTTCAAACCGAAACACAGCCATGCAAACACAACTGCTTTACGGTAGAAACACGAATGGGACAGAGATACCCAAGCAATAGGCTTTTGTACAAACATTTGTCACAATATTTGAGAATTTAGACAGTGAAGAATGTCAATAGTTGATTCCTGCGACGAGTATCTATCTAACTGTTATGGGGCCATAATACACTATTTGATATCTATGGTACAGCACCTGGAACATGTACACTAAGTAACTATCATGACCATATTAATGGTATAGTTTATATTTATAGCCAACTAGTTGTATCCTGCAGTTTCACCCGTGTGAATCAATATGTAAATCATATGTGCTAATTTAGGTTGCAACTTACCTGTGTACCAAATTTATTTGAAATCTGATTAGTAGTTTTTGCGTGGAAGAGTAACAAACTTCCTTACATACTTTCGCATTTATTATATTAATAGGATTATTGTTTTACTACTTTTCATTCAGTTTGTCGTATATCAAAATAAGGATTTACCCGGCTTCCTCGGTTTTTATTAAAAAAAATCATGTATTATATATTTATAATAAATTAATTAAATTGAAATATTCTTATAAAATATAGAGATAGAAAGAAAGAATATAGATATATAAAGAAAGCTTAATAAAAGCTGTTGCTCTCTTTAGTTCTAAGTATGTTTAAAATTGATTTAATAATTTTTAGTTTATTCGTGATAAATTAAAAATTATATCTCTATAATATTAGTTGCGATGAACCATGTATATCTGATGTTAAAAATTATAATTTACAGCATAGTTTAGCTTGTTATGTAATATTAATAGATACTTTAGGTTATGAATATGTGTACCTCTGTATGCGGACACATATTTTATATTTTAAAACCATCTACAGCCAATTCAACACATGCATATATTTTTTTTAATTTCACACGTCGGCGAACGCGTATAGGTAATTAGTGCTCAATTCGACGTCTATTCAACATGTTCTATTCATGCCGAGTGAGGCACTGCCATACTGCAACCGCAGTTTGGGTTCCGATGCGAAATACCGCCAGAATGCTGAGCCCCTACCATGAGAAAATTACGTAGGCAAAGATAGGTATATAAAATTTAAAAACTTATTTATATTTTATTCAAAAATACAATAAAGATAATGAATAGTTACTGAGCATTAGGAAATTGGTAGTTAGAAGGATTTTTTGTCTAAGTATTGCCGCGTTAATCGATATTTCAGCAACTAGTCAATTGTATTGCAATTGGAAAACAATGTAACTGAAATGACTGATTCTCAAATAAATATATATAAGTACCACATAATTACACCAATTATCTCATCCTCAAGTTAGAACTGTTACCCTGTGGTATGAGGAATCAATCGGCAGACACAACCCGGAACACCCTGTACCAATTGAGAAAAGATCGTTTCCTCAATTGGTTCGACCGAGAAACGAAACCGTCTAGGGTTTTATTCATTTTTTACTTTTTATTTTTTAAGTTTTTATATGTTTAATTTAATGGTTTTAATATAAAATTATGGTCTTCGTATACAGCATCGTGGCACTTTCTAAGCCGAAAACTATTTCAAACTCATTAAAAATTTTATTACTGAAAAAGTCTAAAATTGTTACTTAGTATTCAAGAATTCTGAAAAACATTTATTATACAATTGGAATTGAAATGGTGCTATTTTGAAGTAAAATTAATTGATTTTTAATTTTAAGCAAATTTTGCTTTATAAGCTCAAATAGTGGACATAAAATTTTTATTCCTATTTTATTACTATATTTACCTGTACTTTTTTATAATCATTTAAATGATAAACAAGTTCATGACTCATCTGGAAAATCGTAATAGTAGCTTACAGACACCAACAGAACCATAGACATTACACTATTGTACCAATGGTACATCTTTTGGTTTTACCTGTCTCTATCAATTATGAAAATTATATCTCTTATTGATTTTATAATCGCCTTCGTTTCATAAATTATATTAAAGTAGAAATATTAGAGACGATTCTGAGTCGTCATTTTTCTAAACACCTTTTCTAAACCTATCATTAAAATTTGATATAACAGCGACATCTTTATTTACTATTCTGAAATTTCAGATTAGGAAATAAAGATGTCGCTGTTTTTTAGATTAGATTTAAGTTAAAATTATTATAAATTTAGTTTATGACAGTCCATAAAACATCTCTCTTAATCTATTATTTCGCAAAATAATAGATTAAGAGATAGGTTTAGAAATGGTATCCCAGAATTGGCCCCCGTATCCTATCAGACTGTATCACGTTCGTGAATTCATCGAGAGTAAATAGTAGCGACCCCACAAGGGTGGTTACCATACCTACTCCGTCCATTCGAGTTCATTCTGACGGAATATCATTCCATTCACTAAAAGCTGAATACACTACTTGCGATTTCATTTTTATTATTAAATGACAAATCAAATTAGTTGGTTCATACTGTCAATTATATCCCCCTTTGTGCCTTTTATTTAGTGTGTTAATTAAAATTTTACGCCATCTTTTTAATTTGTCGTTACATCACCACTTGTTAGCACTTGCAAAGTGTGAATCTATTGAGTGACACTTTTTGTCTATTCTCACTTGCCAGCCTTTTTTTATTTAATTAGGGTTTGTTTATGGTTTTGCACCTTCATCTAAAGGGTTTACATTGTGAATGATATGTATGTATTTGCATTGAAAAGTAAATGTTTCAAACTTTTTCTTTATTACTTTGACTGAGTCTCAACTATCTGTTGTTAAAATGTTTAATCACAGTTTAGCAATATTTTTGAGTGCATTTTGTGATGGCGTAGTGTTGTTCATGTCTGCAAGTGACGGTTACCATTTTCAATTAGGAGCGCCGTTAACTTATTTTTCATATTATATATTACTTATTTTAATTTATGGATATTATTATTCATATGTTCTTCATTTTTCTCGAAAGTTAATTTACGTTTTCTCTCCAGAAAAATAATATTCAACAATTAAAAGAGGAAATAAAAGAGAAGCTACCGCCATCGGAGAATTTGAAGCCAGTGCCACCTCCAGTGGTTCCTACGTTGGCGCCTCCTGGTGGCGAAACTTTGAAACGGAGCAAGAAAAATAGGCCAGCACCACAGCCGCCCAGGCCATCAGATCTTGAAATCAGGGCACCTTCGGAACTGTTGGTCGGTGTACCTGGAGCGCTGAAGACTCAGTGGAAGCATCAGCCGTTCGTTCTCGTTACGGGAGCTGTCACATATGTAGCTAATGTAAGCGTTTCATTAATTATATTGTAGCTCATGGACGAAATAAGTCTTTAACAGTAAAAGTATTCAAATTTAATCAAATTTGACTTGAAATTACAATTGGTTAAATCGATATTTTTATTCTTAAAACTAAGTTATTATTTTCAAAACATTGGATTTTTTGAAATGATTTAAAAATTTACATGTACGAAATTTATGTTTACGAAAAATTAGTAGATACATAATTATATCTACTAATTTTTCGTATCGTACATTAATATATGTATAATTTATCGTATTAGCTAGAAAGATGTCATTACACTGTGATTCCAGTATACTTTTTTATATATTTGTGCAACTAGACTAATTTTAGGAGCAAATTTAAAATCCTATCCTAATGCTATACTTATTTAACAGTATTTAGGATCAACAGTCGTGAAAGAGTTACGAGGGACAGAATCAACGAAGAAATCAATACAGAAACTGAAGAAATCAACCAAAGAACCGAGAGATTCTCCAGATATTATCCTATCAATTAGTTATAGAGGTGTCAAGTTTCTAAACACGATTACGAGGGTAAGTTTAAAGATTTATTTATAAGTACTTTGTTTTTATTTTGTTTTAATTATAGGTACTACTACTCTAATTAACAAAGTTCTTTAAATGTTCACCATGGATACTTTTTTCAATTTATCTTTCTAACATTTATAAAGTGTCAACAACATTACATAGACTGCCGACTGGTGTCCTTATTAAAAAAAAAAAAAAAAAAAAACTTGTGAAAAGATGTTTATTCTTTGTAAACCAACCAAGTGTACATTCCCAAAACATCCTTGGGTGGGACGCCTAAGCAAAAAGGGCTGTTAACAAAAGAACTGACTTTGCCCGCTTGACTTTTAATTATGGATCTTTTTCACACTTCATCGAACCAGTGACCAATCTTGCCTTTTGTTTCTTGTAGAAAAAAAAAACAGATTGCTTTTTCTCCCCTTTTTGTATAATAAATTTTATGTTAGAACTCTTTACGGTTAGTTAAGTGGGATAATTAGTGTTTTTTTCTCTGATGCTTGATAAACAACGTTGTTTTTTTTTTTTACTAAATTTGTTATTATGTTACGAAATTGTAAATGTTCTGATAAATGGTGTATCTTTTTATAGAGTTTAATATTAAGAAAAAAAAAATTAAAGAAAAAAACATAAGTTTACAATTGTTTGCTCGTAGAAGATGTTTGGCCGTCACAGTAATGGTAGCTGAATTTAATAAAATAATTCTTATTAAATAACCATATATTATATTATTCATAAAATAAACATACATACATACATACATATATTTACCAGAGGGAAACTTTGTACAAAAGTCGATTGCTTGGGTACCTCTGTCCCATTCGTGTTTTTACCGTGAAGCAGTTGTGTTTGCATGGATGTGTTTCGGTTTGAAGGGTGGGATATGGCGTGAATTTACTGGGTACAGAAGAGTAACACCTGAGTCCTCAGGAATGGCAACGCATGGGGGTATCATGGGCGAAACAGTATACTCTGTTATGTCCATGGTACTGCTCATGTCTATAGGCGACGGTTACCACTTTCCATCAGATGGGCCGTCAGCTTGTTTGCCATTCTAAGTTCTGTAAAAAAAAGAAAAAAAAAATACATCATATATTATAAATACATATCAGCCTTTAAATTTCCACTGCTGATCATAAACCTCCCCTTCCGGGGATTTCGCCAGTAGTTGCCATACTCGGCAGGCAGATTGGCAATCGCAGTTACTTTGGAGATGTTTTAATATATATTTTAAATAGTTTGTTATCTAGCATCTCATAATACAGGGTGTCCTAGCTTGAGAACAAAGCAGTTGGTTTGATTGTTTTGCTCTCATTATATTACTAATATTTACTCACGACTGGGTCGTCTACGTGACCGGGATACGGTTACTGACTTAGATAAAATGTAACCTATGTCCTCCTCTGTCTCATAGAGTACCTGTATTTCGTATTTCATAGTGACAAATTAAGTAGGTTTTTTTTAATGAATGATAATGGAATGGTAATCCCGCCCGCGCTATCGACATACGCTGGTAAAGCACCAGTGAGGGGTGATAGGTGAGTATGAAAAGGCAGGTCGGTTAGCTCATCGTGATGAATACACTTGAAATTCAACACGATGGTTTCCAGGGGGGACCACGTGGAGGTCGACCTGACAAAGTGTATGGTTAACAATAGGACTGGTATTCCCCATTACTAACAATTCCCCCTATCCCCCCAAATTGAGTAGTTAAGATGCCAAAAAGTAACAAAACCATATTCATATTTGTAATTAGTAAGTATATCTGAATTGTGTTTCATTAGGAGCTGATATGCGAACACGAGATTCGCAACATTCATTGCGCGTGTCAGGACGCCGATGACCTCACTCATTTTGCGTACATCACTAAAGACCACGCCACCAAGAGCCATTACTGTCACGTGTTCAGAGTAGCCACTATGGTAAGTAATAACTCTATAATATTTATGACTAGAGACCTGTATAATTGTAAATGTGCATAGAAATGTTACAAAAATTCTGAAGAAATAAAAACAAATTGTAATATGGCGTATGCATCTGTCACACCTCGCCAGCATTTATACTTTTTAATTATTATAGAAAACTATAAAATTATAATGAAATCTATTCCTTAAAACTAATGTTAGAATTCATCGATAGGGTCTCAGTATTTTTTTTACAATATAATTTATAGTAAGAGAAAATAAAAAATGGGATTTAAAAAAAAGAACAACCTGTATCTCTATCGACGACACTACATAATAATAGGTATAGATACAGCTTGTACTGTGCAATGCCGTTGGAAAAGATACAGGTTGTTCTTTTTTCCCAAATTTGAATTTATTTCTTTAGTTTTTGGTATTATAAAATTATTTTTTACTAAAAAAATCTAAAGCCTTGTAGGTATTGGTTAATTAAAGGAGTCAATATTAATAAATTTTGTATTTTATTTGTTGACTTTCTTTCATTTCTAAGCTAAAATATAGCTACTTTCGAGTGAAGTAAATTATCACACATTTATAAATTATAAATAATTTTGGATGAAATCTGATAATAAAGTTATGATAATGATCGTATATTTTTAAATGGACCATAAAAATATTCGTAACTAGCAGTTAAATTTAATTATAATAAAATATAATAATAAAATTCACATTAAACGAACATGTTGAATATAATGATGACCTTGTGGTGTAGAAGTTAAAAGCGCAGTGCATTAAACACGACAAATTGTCTTCTGATGTTTGCGGATTCGAATCCCGCACAGTACAAGTATTTTGTGTTTAAAACCATATTTATATATTAAAAAAAAATATGTCTGTCAGTTTTCTAGTACCTATCTATCTTTAGTACAAGCTCTACTCATTTTTGGTCTGCTAGCTACTACTATTCATTTTTATTTATTAGTATTTATTTTTTAAATAGTTTTAATTTGATTTCTATCATTGAAACTAATATTTTTTTATAAAGAAATATACCCATATATCATGGATCATACTGTCGTTTTTTCGATCTGAAAAATAACAAATTGAGCCCTTCCTCAGGAGATACTAAAAACATTAATTATCATTAGTTTATAATAAAAAAAATCTATTGAGCAAATAAATATTATAAGTAGGCATATCATTTTAAAAAATCCCCCAATTTTAATGAATTGCAGGATCAAGCTACAGAGGTAATTCTTACTCTTGGAGAAGCATTCGAGGTGGCTTACCAGATGGCGCTGCGAGAACAATCGAACAGGACAAGAGTGACGCAGTCACAAGCCAAAACTCCTACACACGACCCTACGACCATTAGCAAAGAGAAGCAAGAAAGAACAAACCACGGCAGATCACATTCCATTACTGAGATTAAACTGAACGGTCATCAGTTGAAAATCGCACCAATTCCGGCTTCGTTGTCCAACGAAGATTTCCAAGCATCCTCTAGAAACTCAGACGGCTCCCGAAGTCCCAGAACACCACTGTTAAAAGCACCTATAGCGTCCACTGAAGAATTGTGAAAGCTAAGGTAATGTTCGTTTAAAAAGATCAAATCAAACGAACTATAGATTAGAAAGAGAGTAAATTATAATTTATATAAACACCATCGTATTTATATGGTCTGTGTCTCATTAAAAACCATAATAATTCACATAACAAGATTTTGATATCGTTTTTCAATGAAATTTCTTCTATTGTTATATAATGTAGACATGTAATGTATGTTTAAAAATTAGAAACTGGATGTTGTTAAGGACTATTGGCAGGTACCAGTATATAATTGGTCCTTCCCAGTTTCCTTCTATAAGATTATAAATAAATTTTGATTTTTACTCCGCTTTTACAAACCATAACATAATTTATTTGACTAATGTACTATATTAGATAAATGAAACCGATTTTACTATTGAATAGTAAAATTTTAGGGGCTGTTATATTTATAGTGATTTCTAATAATTGTATATTTTTGTTTTCCTTAGCATTAATGCCGTGGATTATTCAGAGAAATAAATTTTGCAGCTATATTGTTGGTCCAAACGATTCGCCGAATTCTTTTATTGCGGTAAACGTAAATATAAACACGTAATCGAGTGAAAATTTAGATGTTTTAAAGTAAAAATAAAAAATAGGTAGCTTTAATTTGTTTTACGCATTTTGACGTCATATTGATATTCTGTTAGGCCTAAAATATAATCTCGGTTAGATATTATATATATATAAATTTATACGTTTAATACTTTATAAAAAATGGGAATTAACGCGTTTATTTAGGTAAACTACGATAATTTACCTGAATTATCTCGACGATTTGACCAAATACACCGGAGGTGGTCATGAGTAAATTGTCTTCAATGAGTGGGTAGAAGTAAAACCTTCTGCTTTGGAAGCGGAGACATGACAGCGCTACATCAGTCTATTCGTGAACACGGCCGGAGTAACACGCTCGGAACATGTAAATTATTTCAATTTATTAATTAAAGTAAATGATCACTTTAATTCCCGTTTCTTATAAAACATAAAACATGCAACGCGAAAGTCTAAAGTTAATAATTTATACGTTACCATTATTCGGTGTCGTATATAATGTATTTAAGTGTATATAGAATAGAGTGTTAAGGAGTGCATAGAAGTGTATATGGGTTGTTAAAGTTACACATCTTATGACATTGAAAGCGAAATCGCCTAACATAACATATAGTACATAAAACATATCAAACTGATGTTAATATGTTATTGATATTCAGTAATAAATTGACCACCATAACTGGACACTTTTCGCGCGCCGGTTCCATTAAATGTAGCGTTGTTGTGTTGCGTCAAAGGGGTCTCGTTATAGTGGTCCATACCTGACAGTCTTAATTATAACAAAATGAGCTTCCGATGTTAATTTTGCGAGTAGTTTACAATTTATGGAGTTGAAATTCGTTGTTCTACGTACAATAAATGTCTCAAAATGACAAAAAAATGATGTTTTCGGTATTGTCTATCTGTTCTGTTCAATTATTGCAACTGTTTGCTCAAGCATGTGAAAATTTTGCAATTGTCGTTTATTTCACAAAAAAAAAAAATCTGTTTATGAAATATTTTGGAACTGTTTTAGGCCTTATTGTTTTCATGTACAGTTAACTGGAGAAATAGGTGATCAAATGTGTACCTTGTGGCGTTGAGCTGAAGTATAGATGTGATGAAATTTCTTAACCTATTTTTCTTGCTGACTGTACGTCGTTGCTAAAGTCTGATTATTATTTGAGATTTCTTGTATTTATATGTGATATGAAAAGTAAAAGTATTCAAATGATTTTTGTTTCTTTTATTTATTAATCTTTCTCACCTTTCTGTCTTTATTTTCCAATCTGTATATTTATATATTATATTTATATTTAAAGCTTTTTATAATTGTTAAAGTTGAACATCAAATTATATTAGGTAATTACGTGAACAAATGTCTTAAAATAAGTTATATTTATATATATATATAGACGATCGGTTATTATATTAGATTGTAGGTATAATTAATTATCGGATTATATAAGTATAATATTAGGTTATATACTTTGTGCCAAATTACTATATTACAGGTAATGAACGCCAATATAATCGAACCCCAGACTTAGGTTATAGGCTTTGGTAAAAATTCTAAAAATGCTCATAATACAGAAGTATGACCAGAGTTGTCCGTTGATCCGATCAGGCCTAATTTTTAATAACTATATAGGGTGATACTAAAATCATTGGTATTCTTTTAAGATACTGTTACTAAAAAAATTCTCAAAAAATTAATATGTATACAAGTGAAAATTTTTTAATCTCTCATAGTATCATGATACTCGCACATCTAGCTGTTAAGTTAGCAGTTATGATAAGCACAAAAATTTTTTTCATTTTTAAAAATAAATGTAAAATGTTTCCTGTCCTTTTTTCTTTGGGAAAAGTGATAACTGGTAGAACATTCTTAATAGAATGATAATGCTTTCTATATCACCCTGTATATATTTAAAGAATTTAGTGCTATTCCATAAAGCCGTCCTGTCGACCTAGGGGCGGAAATTTTTTTTTAAACAAACAATTTAGTTTCGACGTAGATTTGGTACAATTCATTAAATTAATGTCGATTTTGTAAAACATTTTACACAATTTATAAATTAATATATTATGTCTATTTTCTACATTATATTATTTCTTTATACTAAATTATCTATAATATAAAGTGAGTAATTTTTAATAATAAATTGGGCGGCTTTAATATTATTATTGTTTTTATCAATTTTCTTGCTAAAACAGCTGAACAATGTTTGAAGAAAATTGGCAGTAAGGTAGACTACATCGTGGACACGTTATGTACCTAGAAATTATTCGTTTATAGCGACAGGTATATGCGAGTATATATAAGTCTACAGATATATCAAATTTGAGTGACATACAACGCTAAACTATATAAACAATAGCTCCTATAATTTCTTTTATTGCTATATTCTTAATTAATGATAATAAAAATCTAATAAAATGGCTTACCCTAATGAAATTCTATAAATTCTATGTATACCAAAGAATTAGAATAAAATTATATTCTATTAAGTAATATTTAAAGCTAAGAAAATAAATATAAACTCAAGCAAAATCAAAAGCAATTGGTGAAATAAATATTTAATATATACATATATATTTAATTGTTATTATACAGATATTTATTACTGTAATAGTTTATAGGTATATACATAATAATCACTGCCGATGAAACGAAGTTTTTATAATATAAACTGAATAATTTGCCATTTTAATTTTTTACCAACTACAATTTTTTTTTTATTATTTATTTCTCTTTTCTTTATATCCTATATTTATTAAAATTTGATCGTTTTCTATAATATTTTACCCTTTAATCTGTGTATTTGGTATTGAACTCAAAGACATTTTCTTGGTTGTGTACCTAATGTTTATTTATATTATATGAAATTATATATAATAACATTGTAGTTGAATACCCAAATATTATGTAAATAATTACATAATTATAATGACATTATAATCGAAATTCAATAAATTGTGAGATATATCAACTTGTCTTATTATTTGTATAAATAATCTAATATTAAAAATTACCACTTAAAATCGGAATTATAATGGATCACTATATTTTTTATGAACGAGATTAAATTACTTATCTGCGTGCTGATGAAGTACCTGAGAGTCATAGATCTTAATCTATGGAGGGAATGGGATATTTTGTAATGGGGGTTTGCTAGTAAGTAACCCATTACTTACTAGCAAAACTATTACTAGCAAAATTACTAGGCCCCAGCTCTTAGAGCCCATATATTGATTAAATATAGAGATTGAGTAAATATACTATATATTTACTCAATTAGTTCGCTCTCCTCATGGCCCCTTCAGGAAACCATCGTGATTAATTCCTAGTGAATCTGACACGATAGGCCAGCTGACCGAACTTTATCTTCATCTACCATCTCTCACAGGTACCCAGCCATGAATACTGATAGACTTGGCGGAATTACTCTTCTATTTTGATCTCATTATAATTAAGATTGTGACAAAATCAATAGTTCAATTTTGAGTTAAAAACTAAACAACTGAACCGATTTTGATAACATTTCTATGGAACTAATCTGTAAAGTATATTTTTTAGATAAACAAAAATCCAAATTGGTTTACAACTGATGAATGTATGAGGTAATAAACACAAAAAACATACATACAACCGAATTATGAATCTCTAATATGAAAGGTCGTGGAACTTCTGCTAGTATTGGTGGCGGTCAATCTTCGAGTGTTGGAAGTTACACACATAACTAATGGTAATGGTAGTGGAATTAAAGAAAATAATTCTAATTAAATAATCAGTGATATGGACTTCCGCGAGTGTGTACTCCCGGCATAGAATGGATCACTCCTTCCTTTCCCGTGGGGGTCGTAAGAGGTGACTAAGACAATTTAATGGTCGCGAGTTGGGTAGCAGCCTCCTCTTAAAACATTACCAAAGCCAAATTGGCAAACTGCGGTTGCCAATCCGCCTGCCAAGCGTGGCAAGTACTGGCAAGGCCCCCTATATGGGGGAGGCCTATGTTTAGCAGTGGACAGTTGATGGCTGATGTGATGATGATCATGGACTTTCGCAAGATATTATCTAGTTCAGTAAAATAAACATTGAATTGAAAGTATGTAAAGGCGAAAATATTAACATGTTACCATGAAAGCTATTCAGCTCTATGGTTTTCAGCCCTCTCTATGGTTTTTATAGTACCGGTAATGGGAAACAAGTTGTTGCTTCTATCCTATTTTGTACAACTCCCCGCCCCCGGGGGAAAGGGATTGTTAGTAATGGAGACTAAGGACTCAATTGCTAGCAATATATCCAACCAGGTCGACCTCCACGTGGTCCCTCCTGGAAACCATCATGCTGAATTTTAAGTGTATTCTTCACGTTAGGCTAACTGACCTGTCTTTTTATCTTCACTTATCATCTCTTACCGCCGCCCCGCCGGTGTATACCTACCGTTAGCACGGGCAGGGTCTACCGTTTCATTGTCATCCATTACTTTATGAAACTGTACTTATATTATTGTATATGCACTTTAATTATTTAATGTTTTAATTAACTTATATTGAAATATAATATAATATATTTCAATTCAAAATAAAAAAATGAATGAAAATGCATACAAAAGAATAATTGACTCTAATACAGTCTGCTGATGTCCAATAATAATAGTATTAAATAATAAAGTCGATTAATTGTATTAATGCTTCGATTTTCTCGTAATTTCCTTTAATGAGAGTTTCTATGATAATTTCATTAAATGACAGAAATAAGTAATTTAGTGGTATAAAGCTATTTAGGTAGTTATACAGGTCATACAAATTTCATCCACTCGATTTCAATCACTTTATGCGAACTATAAACACCCGTAACACTGGAGAAAATGCAGGCATGATACCGGCTTTTTAAAAAGGATATATCCTAACAGATTAATGTAAATTTATTCTTAATGTATTCTGTTAATTTTTCTTGCAGTTAATAGGGACAGAGTAAACTCCCATGTACCTTAACTACCTAAATGAATAGTTAATCAACGATATTTAATTTATTATAAAAATAACAGAGTGTTAAAAATAAAGAGGAATAAATTAATAATTACGACTTGTTATTGAAGCCTGAAATAAAAACGTGGCTAAGTCAAAATTGAATTATTCAAACGATAAACAATTCAGAAGCGGGCTGGATTTAACTGGCGATAAATTCTGTGCTGCTATAAAAACGGCTAATTATTCAAGCGCCATTAACTCAGCCGAAAAAAGGTTGAGTTTTAAGCGTCATTTGTTAATCGTGCCTTTGGACGGTCGATTAGATGTAAAAGATGGACGATCAACCTGATCCTTGCCACTAGTATTAAATAGATTGATTTTATACATAAATACATCTACTATTAAAAATAACATATATAGTTTGAATTTGATGTACATTCTATTAATATAATAAATGCGATAGTTTACAGTTTATACTTAGTACATAAATACTTTATTCACTCTTTTACGTAGGCGAACCTGCGAGATACAGCTTCACGACGTATATATATATATATATATATATATATGTGTGTTTTTATTTCAATAAGAAATAGAATAGATATCGGCGGTAGATAAATGGCAACTCTATTAAAAGAACGAATATAATATATATTTGTATTTATGCTCGTAAGTAACGTAAGTATAAATATTTATTTACCTACTTTTATTTATTTTCACACCAAATCTTTAACGGAATTGAAAAAGAAAACATATATTTCTTGCGTAATTATAATTTAATTTATTGGAATGGAATATCTAAAAATGATTGCTTTCTATGTCTCGTAGATATTTCAATACTTTATTTCAAATTCATTGGTAATTATTTCAGCTTCATGGACATCTCAAAATTACACTTTTTTATGCAACTTAGAACGGCGATCAAGCTGACGGTCCACCTGATGGAAAATGGTAGCCATCGCCTATAGACCTGAGCAGTACCATGTACACAACAAAGTATACTATTTCGCCCATGGTATCCCCCATGTGTTGCCATTCCTAAAGGACTCAGATGTTATTTCTCTGTACCCTGTAAATTCACTGTCATATTTATATATATTCACCCTTCAAACCGAAACACAACCATGCAAACACAACTGCTTCACGGTAGAATCACGAATAGGATAGAGGTGCCCAATCAAACAATTTTGTACAAAGTTTTCCTCTGGTAAAATGGATCATTTAAAAGTAAGTACGTACATGACGGACATTTAGTCC